CCAGCCTCGACGCACATACAGTTCAGAGGCGATTCTCGTAATTATTTATGGTTCTTTTGTGTTTTTCCAACGACACGGCAACGAGCTGCATAACCAGTTGCGAGGCGAGCAACTAACTGGTGACATCTGTCCGACTCGAACCGCTCGTAAATTAACCAAGTAGGTGGAATAATGTCTTTTTTCTGGTTCGGAACCACCGGAACCCGGCCTAGGAATTTTCGAGTGCCTAATTAACTAGACCTTCGAAACGGTGCGGAATGCGCGGCACGAAACGGGCGAAAACGCAATTTTTATCGACGAGAAAAGGGACTTTGAAGTGTCCGGATCGAAGAGCAAAAGCAATTACTGTGCCGGCATTATGCAACGCGGCCAGCGAATTCCCATTAGAATTCGCGCATACTAATGACCTGACTGAATGATTCCATTCGACGATAATTCGCTCGTATTCATCCGACAATGAACAATGGCGGAATTAGAGCGGGCCCTGATAATTACCTAAAGGGCACATCACGAACTCGATCATATTTCGGGCTGCTGCAAACCATCTTTCAAAGTTCATGCAAATCAGACGTGCCCCGGCGCCCTTTTACATACATAATTAGCCTGCGGTACGCGTCAAAGGGCGCAGCCCTTTTGTCAATTAGCGATCTAGAGACATCCAGATATTGTTATGTATATGTGGAGGCCAATTTCAAATTCGACATTTCGGCCTTGTTTTGCCACTGCAAATCAAAATCTTCTACCCCTTGAATGATCGGAGTGGATGGTTAAGGGTGGAAAATCGCTGTCATTCTTAGCCGTTAATCTGGAGGGTTTGGGTTAAAGCAAACACCTATTGCGGTATAAAGTAGGATGTGAAATAAGAAAACACCGTTAGTTTGGGCTTTCACTGGTCGAAACTTCCGCTAATTCTTATTTTTAAACCCTTTAAAAACAAGTTCTATGCAATAGAGGAGGCGCAAAACAGCCATCATGAGTTTGAGTGGGAAAATGCGAAAATGTCCCTAGTTTTCTGAGCTTAAAGGTTTGGAACAGCAGCCATCCTAATACAAAGAATATAAGCACAAATTTCCAAAATTTGTTTCTCTTTTGTGCGAATCTAATTTTGTTTGAACCCCCAATTTCAGACAGTCTGTACAGGGTTTTCGAACGATAGAGTAAAGAAAGTAAAATTAGCATTTTCATGGTGCTGATAAGTGAAGAGCTGCGAGTAAAAATGACGGGGAAAGTGCCGATTTCTCAGCCCCATGAAACAGTTAATTTCTATCATTTAATTAGTCAGAGACTATAGTTGAATTTTATATTGTCAAAAAGCACGTAAAATGCAGTATTGTTCCGTTATCATTTTTTTTGACGCACCCGAACAAATCGCATGTGGAATTTTTATTTTCTTGCCCAAAATTTCATAAGAACGCAGGTCGAAAAAATACCACTAACACGGTAAATTTGCATAAATGGCTCCTTAGATCGAAAGCAATCGAAAATCGGAATTCTGTGAAGATTAACAGTGCAAAAGTGGCAGGAAAGCGCATTTGCACAAAAAAATTCACGAACAAAAAGTGCCGCTCGCTGAGTAAATAAACTAGAAAATTATCAAAACTAAGGGTTTTAGTAAATGATAGAAGCATAATATTTTCGGCAAGCGGTACGTTTTTTAAAAAACGGATCAATTGATTTAAAATTAATTTTCAAGTTTCAAACCCGCTGCAGGACGCTGCATGCAAAATAAGCCAAATTATCTTATATTAATTATGATCAGGCGCGAATGCAACAAGGCAACTGCTTACCACGTCCAAAGTGAAAATCCACGGCAACGCTGCACGAATATACTGAGACGTCACACCATATCCTATCGTATATTATTTGCTTTAAGTGGGCTTTTAACACCAAAAAAGCCGAAAATATGCATCCACCCTCAGCCAGCAACTCGATTTTGACGATATCTGCAATAATCCGGGATAAAACGGGTTCACTAGGCCTAGTCAATGGTCCCGAACTCACTTGACGGTAAACGTCACATCGCGATTTAAAACTCCGATTTTGCTGCTAAAAACACCCGATTTAGCAGGATTTTTACACAAAACACTCGAGAACACTTTCCTAGTCAAAACGCAGTAAAATTTCGGGTATAAATCGCGATAAAACCGTCACTTTTCCGCTATTTTGCATGAGCAAATCGCACCAAAATGTCCAGTAACCCGCCGGTCTAAAGGGTATGAGGCGCGCTGCGACATATCCCGTACGGGTGCGTGAAATCAAACCGTCAAATCGGACGTCGATGATTGTGTCGGCGTAGTGTCACTTACTCAACTAACCTAATCAGGTTTAAGCCCGTGTTCCATGCATCTGTTTATACGATGGTACGATTATACGAAAGTGTTTCTATTGGTTGGAGATCTGTCAGTTCGTACGACGGCGTATGAATTGACAGGTCTCCAACCAATAGAAACACTTTCGTATCATCGTACCATTGTATAATCGGATGCATGGGACACGGGATTATCTTTAACTGCTTTTTTTTGCTTCTACAAGGGGTTTTTAGATATCATGTTAATGTTTTTAAGCAAAATTTTACTAAAATGGCGATAATCTGCCAACGTCGTAAGTAATAAAAAAACAATTTGCGGTGCATAGGCGGCGTTTCAAGCACAACAACCTGTATATGAAACTATTTTTCGAAAGTTCAACTCCAACGGACTAAAAAACCAGCCTGTATATACTTGGTGGATGATTAAAGTTGTGGTAGGAGACGACTTTTCAACCTTAAAGGCTTGTAAATGGGTCGACGAGTCCTCAACATGAAGAAACTAGAAAATTGAGCCAGAAGAGACAGCTGATACCGGGTGTCCCAACATCAAGGCAAACGGGTTCGGACAAAATGCGAATATTTATTCAACAACAACAACGTTCAGTGGCGTGGAATCCCCGGACGCTGTTCGGGATCGGAATCGGTTTATTCAGATGCGAGTCGTTTTGTTCCTGCTGGCTGCCGGGGAAAAAATCTAATTCCGAAGGTGTCAAAGAAAAGCCATTTTCCATTTGCCGAGAGAGAGCGCGAGCCAGCCACTCCATATATGCATATAGATACGGTTTCAGTTGACCATATCTGGATGTCGATTTTCTCATTTATCCTGGAAATGGGATACGTCAAGCCGAATCCCCGGGGCGTGTGTCCATATACATATATATATACATAAATGCGATATGCATTACGAACTAATGTAAAGACATTGGATTTGTTTGGTCTGGTGGGCGCATCCGCCATTCTCATGCACAAGGTGACTTAAGTGCCGCCAATGCGATGCCGAAACGTTGGCAATTTCCCTTATGGGCCGTCGTCCCCTCAAAGAAAAATCTCCTTCAGTTATTCCCAGTCTAATCGAAAAAACGCTCTTCGTTCGATTTGCATTAGTTCGCGCTGAGAATGGGAGCGGCCCGCTCGAAAACCGTGGCAAGACCGAACAGTCTAAACCGCCCCACATGTGATAACGGGCATTCTTTATTTGAAATCGTCTATAGATTGGATCAATCTACATAAAGCAGGGGTGAGTCGCTTTAAATAATTTAAATGTCGGTGTCGGAGAATGTGGGATTCGGTATTTTTATTTTCAACAGCGGCTCACATGATGATGACTATGATCAAGCCAGATATTCATTCTGGATCGGGTTTCGTCGGTGGCTTCAAGCCCTGTTTATTCTGGTCGAGATCCAAAAACAAGCCCGGAAGGTTAAGTGGAACAGGAGCCGATGGGGGAAACATAAAACGCTCCCTAGATTGGAGTGATATATGGCTGGAGACGCTCGGGACATTAACAGTGTCCGAAAATATTAATCTCTGAGAAAAAACGGCGGAAAAACAGGCCGCACCAAATCCATATTACTTATATGGACGTGTACGGGGGGGCTTCCAGTTCTTTTCTTCAACTAATCCTTTAATAGCGCCAGTGCAGTGGAGGACGATTGAAAACCGTTTTTTCTCCTCTCATCGCGCAACAAAAGACTCTGGCAATTCCTTAGCAAAATATCCCGCACAAATCAATCCGACACACGCTCACACATGCCTAACGATGTGGCCCCCTTTACCACCTCCCTCACCGGGGGGGCGACGGCCCGCTTTCCCCAAAATTAAGTGTCGCTTCCGTGCATAGCGAAGGTGGCACGGCCACCCCTCGCATCGTCCCCCCGCGGCTTGGGGGGGCGATTTCGACACACACGTACAGTTTTAAAGATCGATGCAAAGCAGGAGAGGCTAGCTCGTTACCATGGAGATGAGATGAGACGACTTGTTCTTTTTAACCTCCTTATTCGCGTTGTCCAACTCCTGCAAGGGGGGGCTCGATATGTAAACTAAGGGGGGGTGCGGTTCTGGACCGTTCCAAAGCATCAGGTGTGTTGCTGATGACCCGCGCCCTTGGAGGGGACGCTTAGGGGAGTACTGCAGTAAAAGCGCCATTAGCAGCCCCCGCGGGGTGCGAGGGGGCCAGTCTGATAAAATACTCACATGCAGAATAGAGTAACTCATTGTAGAAGCAAAAAAAAGCAGTTAAAGATATAAAAAAATACATCTGGCGCTCTTTCAAACATCCACCTTATTCCCCTGTATCAATTTCCGTTCCAGTACAGTGCTAAAACCGACCGATCAAAAATCGCAAAAACTTGAGAAAAACCATCGGCAATGAACAGCCTTAATCAGTTTTAATCCGGTGTCCCATGCATCCAATTATACGATGGTACGATGATACGAAAGTGTTTCTATTGGTTGCAGATCTGTCAATTCGTACGCCGAGGGAGAAATTGACAGATCTCCAACCAATAGAAACACTTTCGTATAATCGTACCATCGTATAAACAAATGCATGGAACACGGGCTTAAAACTGATTGGGTTAGTTGAGTGAGTACGCCGACACAATCATCGACGTCCGATTTGATGGTTTGATTTCACGCACCCATACGGGATTATGTCTCAGCGCGCCTCATACCCTGTAGATTGACGGGTTACTGGACATTTTGGTGCGATTTGCTCATGCAAAATAGTGGAAAAGTGCCGGCTTTATCGCGATTTATACCCGAAATTTTACTGTATTTTGACTAGCAAAGTGTTCTCGAGTGTTTTGTGTAAAAATCCTGCTCAATCGGGCGTTTTTAGCAGCAAAATCGGAGTTTTAAATCGCGATGTGACGTTTACCGTCAAGTGCGTTCGGGGCCATTGACTAGGCCTAGTGAACCCGTTTTATCCCGGATTATTGCAGATTTCGTCAAAATCGAGTTGCTGGCTGAGGGCGAATGCATATTTTCGTCTTTTTTGGTGTTAAAAGCCCACTTAAAGCAAATAATATACGATAGGATATGGTGTGACGTCTCAGTATATTCGTGCAACGTTGCCGTGGCTTTTCACTTTGGGCGTGGTAAACAGTTGCCTTGTTGAATTCGCGCCTATTAATAATTAATATAATGGAATTTGACTTATTTTGCATGTGTAGCGTCCTGCAGCGGGTTTGAAACTTGAAAATTAATTTTAAATCAATTAAACCGTTTTTTTAGACTACCAAGTTCTAAAAACGTATCGCGTGCTCCAATTCCTTTATGAATTCCTGTCCAATTAAAAAAACTTTTGCGGACAAAAGCTGGAAGTTGCATGGTGAAACTATGGAAACAGTCGAATGTCGCGAGGAAACTTCCGAAGTGTCCCAAGTTAATTACAAAAGAAATGACACTGAAAGTTTCCAATCGCTTCGCCCCCTAGGGGCCGCTTAGAAAATTGAGCTTCATCGACTGGAGCCCTGAGTGTTCAAATCAAATTTATCTTATAATTTTTCACGAAAAATATCTGTGGATTGTCAGCATTTTAAGTAAAACTAAAAAATAATGCGATTTTTGCAGTTGTTTTTAGTTTGCGTCTTCAGAGCGATGAGGGCGGCGAATTTTCCAAATATTTTTTCGTGCTTTTGCTCTCTGGTCGTTTTTCCAAGATAATCATAATTACTTTCGGTAAAAATTGAATAACATTATTTGGTTTTTATGCGAAATTCGAAGCTGAAATGGGTTTTCTAATTTCTAAAGTTCCCTGCCAACCGATGAAAGAGGCGAACTTTCCAGAAAAATTAATTTTGTCATTGTCAATTATAGACTACTTAAAGACTATACGACCAGCCTCGCTCATCACTACTAGAAACCCGACTTGGATGGAAATTCAATCAAATACGCGGCCAGTTTGGATGATAAGTGACGGTAGAATGGTTGAACACCCACCGGATGCACCCAATAGATAATGCAAATTAAAACAGCTGTTAAGGGCATTTAAAATGGTAAATAAAACGGCTACTGACAAGTCCGGTATCTCTTCTGCTTTACAGTGAAAGAGCGTGTCCGTTTTCGGCTTATCGGTCCTTCGATCCGGCATTTTCACGCACGACAAACGAGGGTGACGATTGTCCGCAATTAATTGCTGCTAAAAGCCCATTTCCGGACGACTTTTTTATTTTTCTGGTCGTTTGGAATGTTAATTTTCGAGTCAAACGAGAGAACCGATAGCGTCCAGTCGGGTTTTTCCTTTTGGCCCCAACGCCAGCCGAGTGTTGGTTGGCTGGTAGGGAAAAACGTGCCCGAGAATATCGTAAGTAAGCGAGCGCGACATTTTGTCACCGATTTCCATAAGGCTCTTATCGTCTATCAATATTTGTAATTTAAAAGATGCATTGGCTCTTCGCGCTGAAGACGCCCGATAAGGGCGTCGAAGGGCGCCCTCATCCATTTTTTCCTAAGCCAAAGTCAATATTTGGGGGGCCGCTTTATCGGCTTTGACATGATAATTTTTTTCGCTGGTCCAAATGGAAGAAGTTGGCGCGCAGCCAAACACCAAATTTGCAGATTAAAAAGTCCGCCAGTTCAGGAGGAGCAGCAGCGGCTCGAATTTGCCAAGAAAACACATTCTGGAACGAAGCTGCTGACGCCGAATCGGGTTTTTTTCGCTTTGCCTAATTCGAAAATTTAATTGTCCAGGCACGCGTTTATCGTTAAGGCGGGTTCATGGGGTCAATCAGTATGTAGACTTGGCGGCATCCTCTTTCTGGTCCCCAAGTCGTTAAGGCGCAGATAACGCCATGACTGTAAAATAACCCATGTGTGTGTTGCGCCTGAGTTTTACGTAATTTCCCTGATCTCCACACCAAGATAACGGCGCTTTTATTGTTTTTATGGTCCTCACTTGATTAGGCCGAATCAGTGCTCGAGAGCCCAAATTTGCAAGCGGCTCGATTGCGAGAGAGGAAGGGTGCAAAGCGCTTAATTTCCTTCAGCGATTCGAATCGTTAAAATTCATGCGAGCCCGCTCGACTCAAATGGGCAAAATTTCGAAATTAACAATGCGAAATAACTTTCTTTGCCGCATGAACAGCTCTAAACTGGAAAATAGTGCGACGGGGCGGCAAAATCTGTTGCACAAGGGAAATTAACTCGCTAACTAACCATCCATCCTCCCCAGATCGTCTCCACTCATGAATATGCAAGTTGGAAGGGCGACGGCAATTTAGCTCGAAAATTAACGCGCAAATCGACCAGTTGCAACATGCATTTGGTTTTACTTCAATCGGTTGCTGATCGAGGGTTTTGGGCTTAAATTCAGGAATTGGGGCAATTTGAGGGACATTTTGAGGATTTTAAGGCCGCACTGTCTTCTAGGGACTGTGACAATTTGAAGCCGCTACTTGCTTTAGATTGAAAGTTATGATTTTTTCAAGCTGAGCGTGTGATGCACACGCTCATTTCCAAGCCAAAGTTTGCCAAAGTAAATCAGCAATTTGGGGCGTTTCGAGCCAAATTCTCTGGATTTTCAGACTTGTTTGTCTTCTCAGGACTGTACAAGTTTCAAGTTGCTGCTTGCTCTAGATTGCAAGTTATGAATTTTTCAAACAAAAGGTGCAGTGGCAAAGCCCGAAAATCCTTCACCACCTATAAATCAAAGGCAAAGTTGATAATCTTTTGCGGCATCCAGACCGCCGTGCGTGGCTGGCAAACCAGCAGGAAGAATTTTTTGACCACAAGGACGCACCAAATCCTAAATAAAATTTCCTGCTGTTTTGAATCGGCCCTGGTACACCGGTAATGTGCGACAATAACAGCCTGTTTTCCATGGCAACCGCTATGGTGTTCTCGCTCTTGACTGTAGCTCGACTGCATCAGTTTGACTACGAGGGTGAGATTGAGGGGTGGATGCCTTCAAGCTTTTGTTTTAGAGTGAGGACTAGTTCGAAGATGTAAAGCACTCGCGCTATCGAAACGTTTGGGAGAAATTCCACCTCAAAGCGCAAAAACTTCATCAGCTCCATCCAGATTGTCCATAGGACGCAAATCATAACTCGCAGTGTCTCTTCGTGCGTCCAGAAGATAATTTATCGCCACAATGACCCAATCACGACTCAGCGCGCCGGTGTTTTATTATTCGATGCCCGGTGTGCATCGATGGAAAAAATTTAATTCTCGGAAAATAAGAGAGAAAAAAAAACGCATTCAGACTCGAATCGCGACAATATAAATATTTTGTTTATGCATTCGGGATAAAAATTATGTTGACAAGGAAACAAAGGCGAGATGAAGCCCTCGATATGCCTTCGGCCCGCAACCAGAGAGTTATTGCTTACCTTTGGTACGGTCGTCCTGCTGAGCCGTTGTCGTACCTTTCGGTGATAAGTGCAGGTACCGGGGTTCCTGCACAAGTACCGAACTGTTCAGAACCGGGCCATTTTTCCGGCAAAATTCCCGATCGCCGAACGGCCAAAAGTAGCGGCGAATTCCGGGGGGCGAATAAACCCGCCGCCGGCAGCAACCTCTTTTTATCAATGAAACTTCCTTATGGCGGAGTTTACGGAATAAAGAACGCCAGAAATCGACATTTTATATGTCATGAAATCACTTGCAACAAAACGCTTGGCAGCGATTCCGGCAAGCTGAAAACTCTTTATAAATCATCATTGTCAATATTTGTCGGCTTTTTTCGCTTGTTGTTCTCCAGTTTTCCTTTACGGCGTTTTTCGTTTGTCACTTCAACGGCGATAGCGCTAAACTTAAATAAACTAGAAATATTCGCGCAAATGAAACCAGTGTAACCAGATTGGGCTACTTTTCGCTGAGTTTTGTGCGACTGTTGGGCGATATTTTCCCATTTACACCGTAAAGTTTCAGTTCAGTTCCTGATGAGTTCAGAAAAAAAATGTAAATCAGGAACACAGTCTAATACAGCGCGGAGTACATTTAACATGTTTACGAGTTCAGATGGGACGTTTGACGATCTTTCGGAATTTTAAGAGACAGGTGCCGTTGGATTTTTATCGTTTTTTCTTGTAAATGTGATCGCCGCAACCAAAGCGGAACAATGAAGCACTGAAACAATGAAAATTCCCATTTTCTGCCCTTGGTGTCTGAGCAACAGCCAAAAGATTGAACATTAAACGTGTTCCTGCGCTGGTAATTTGCCACTTTTAAGGGTTTAAATTTGGTCAATTCACCAATCAGCCAATCGGGTGGTTGCGCCCCTGACCTACCCAGCTTTCTCATATGGGACTGGCCGGTAATACTGAAACTGCACTTTATTGATTCACATACGCAGCTCATGTGAGCCAGTTGCTGCAGCGCCGCTTAGATGGCGGCACCTTTTGTAAAACCTTTTTTTCAATCACGTTTTCATAACTGACATTTTCTATTCAATTGGGGGAAATTGTCACTCTTCACTTTGGAGTTTACATTTTTTTTAACGAGCGAGTGACTGAATTTTGGGGGAGTTTTTATACCCCAGTCTGCAAGCTGATAAGAAATCGGTAAATTTAGATTTTTCTATAATTTCCACATTTTCCTGCTGGATATTTGCTGCAAATTGTGTGAACATTTCATGTCGTCACTTGCTATGCGATTGTTTTTAAAGACATCGGTCAAAACGTTTTCCCCCAGTGTTGCCGCTGTGTTTATTTTCGGGAAGTTTTACCAGACTTTGGATATGCAGTAATGGGATGAATTTGGAAGAATTTTCCAAAACTCGGCCAGAAAACCCACATCTTCTAAAATCGACTTGATGGCCAGACCAGCCTTTTCCACTCGTCTTCTGCGCCTTCGAAGCCTTTGGTTGCGATCTTATCGGAAGCGCAGCCGTTCGAAATGCAAATGGGGCCCCAATTGTGAATCCGTGTGGGCTTTGTGCCCCCTTTGTGTGAGTTTCTGGACCTGCGATGTCATTAAAATAATCAACAATTACGCCGCTGACTCGATTTCGCCTTATCTGATTGGGCGGCCAATATCGTAACTCTGTTGCTCTATACATATTTAAACCAAAATCAGTTGTTTGTGATTTTATGTTGAACAAAAGCGAATATTTTAACGAAAGTGGGTCCACGGAGGGTTTTTGAGCATCAGAAACCGCGATCTGCCGTCAGATTTCGCACCAAAAGCAACAAAGACGAGAAAATGGCTTCAATTTTTTCGTTGGTTTTCACGCTTTTTGCGATTAAACCCCCAAATTTAGCTCACTACTGCAGATACAAAAATGTCCGCAACAAAGACCAGCGGCAACCCTGGGGGGCAACGTGTTGAACAATTTCTTATGTAAACAATCGCCAGCCGATTTTTGCCCTTCCTCTGCCCTTCAGTCCTAAATCGCACTGGATGAAAACGTAGGTCCAAATTCGCTGAAGGAATCATCGACTTCCGATTTAAAGGTTTGATTGCACGCACCCGTACTGGGTACGTCGCAGCTCTACACAAACCCTAACTTTCGACTATCGGGCGCCAATCGTAAGCTGCGCAGTTCCCACTTCCGAAATATTCGAAAAACGTCGGTTTTATCGCGATTTAAACCCGAAAATCGATTGTGCATCAACCACAATTAGTGCCTTTGGTTGTTTTGAGTGAATTTCCTGGTCAGCAAGGAGTTTTTAGCAGGAAAAACCGAGTTTCCAGTCGCCTGTGACGTTGACCTGCCAAATGAGTTCGGGGCCTGGACATGGAGCGCAAAACCCATTTTCTCCTGGATTGTTGCAGAGGCTTCAACAACAAGGACTTGTGAAGTGAAGGAGATGCGTATTTTGCCATTTTTTTGGATTTTACAGCCTACATAAAATGCAAAGAATATAAAGAACTGCCTGACGTCTTTCAATACGCGCGCAGCGATGCCAAACGTGCAAAGCGCGGGACTTTCAAATTGGGCGTAGCGGGTAGTTGCGCTGTTGCTTTCCTGCCTAATAAATAAAATTGAATTGAGGATTTGTATCGTTCTGCAACGGATTTTAAGCTTGAAAATTAATTAAAAATAATTTAGTTAAATGTAAATGTCCATAATTGATCAAT